TACTACTACTACTACTACTACTACTACTACTACTACTACTACTACTACATTACTACTACTACATTACATTACTACATTACTACTACTACTACTACTACTACTACTACTACTACTACTACTACTACTACTACTACTACTACTACTACTACTACTACGATTACTATTTCTACTAGAGCCTTCCGCCTGCCCTCGAAGAACAAACCCTTGCGTAAAACTTGTGGAGCCCCGCGCGGATCTCGTGGATCGGCGCTGGGGCCCCCCTGGCGGCGCCTCCGGCGCAGCCACCGGCGCGCTCCGCGCGCCAGGGAGGGTGGTCCATCGCAGCGCAGATCCAAGAGCATCCGCGGGGAGCTCACCAAGTTTGTCTTTATGCCCTTGTTTCGTTTTCTGTGCTCGTCATCTGCCCCCTCCTGCGCATTGTTCTCTGCTTGCTGGTGCTGCTCCTCCTCCTCCTCCTCCGCTTCGCCTCCCCGCAGGACGACGACGGCAACCCGCTCCCGACGGGCGACCTCGGCCTGGGCTCGGCCTGGAAGTCGTCGAATTCGGCAGAATTCTGATGCTTTCATAGAAAGGGTGTGTGCTCTCGTCGTCGTCGTCTTCGTCGCCGTCGCCGTCGTCGTCGTCGTCGTCCCTCCAGCCCACCCTCCCTCCTCCTCTTTCTCATCCCTGCCCTCTTCGGGCTGCTTTGCGGCGCGGGCGCTGTGGACTGATCGCATTATGTGGTTCTGTAATTTCGTATGCTGAATGCGTTCGAAATTACATGTATGAGCTCGGTTGAGTTCGATATCGCGTATACATGTATACACAGTTGCTGGTAAAGTATGTATGCATGCATATGTGTATAGTTATGGCGTGACCTGTACTATATATAATGCGTGGATGCATGTACGTGTGCATGTGTATAGATGTGTGCATATATATGGACACATCTACACATGTACGGTAACTGTTATCATACGCGCCATTCCGAGGGGTCAGAGCTCGGAGGCGATTCGTTCGTCCCGTCCGCGATGTGTTAGGCCGTTTCGCTCGGGACATCCTCAACATTCCGCAAAACGGACGCACCCCTCACTCAGATCGCGATGTTGCGGTCCAAAAACACAAAGGAGCAGAAGCAGTTTACGCCAACAGCTGCAAACATAATGGCGTTTATGATGTTGAATCAAAGTTTTCAAACATAGAGATTCGGTTTGATTCTTCCTGCAAGCATCGAACCCCTAGTTGAGTACGATTTTGAGAAAACAGGCAGCTTTGCCTGGGACATCGTCCCAACATCGAGCCCCGACGGGCAACACACAATACACAGAACGCACGCACACACAAATATTCACAGTTACACGTTCATGCATTCACGCATTTACGCAGTCACACATTTACACATTCACACATTCACACATTCACACATTCACACATTGACACATTCACACACTCACACACATACACACATACACAAATACATATACGTCTTTGAATACAAACATACATACATCTATACACATACATACATACATACATACATGCATGCATGCATGCATGCATGCATGCATACATACATACATACATACATACATACATACACACTGATACAAATACATACATATACGGAGCGAGAGCGAAATACACGATATACATATATATATAGAGAGAGAGAGAGAACGCAAAAACAGAAGGAGAGAGAGAGAGAGAGACGTATACATGAAGAAATAAAGAAGCGACACGGAGAGAGCAAGGGATATGTATAAAGAGAGAGAGAGAGAGAGAGAAACAAACAAAAAACAATAAGAGAGAGAGAGAGAGAGAAAGAGAGAACAAGAGAGAGAGAGAGAGAGAGCTCTCGGGGGCCTCGTCGGGGCTTCCTCGGCGCCGCTTGGGGCCTTCCGGGGCGTCTCTTGTGGCGGAGAGCTCGACATGTGGGCTGGCGTTCTCCTTTCGGGGGAGCCTCGTTGGGACCGACTTGGGCCGTCTTGGGGTGCTTCTGGCAGTCTCTTGGGCCGTTTTGGTGCGATGTTGGGGGCTTCCTGGGCCGTCTTCGGAGCGTCGGAAGCCCTGGAAGGCAAGGGCGCGAAGCACATAGAACAACTATTCGAAATCACTGATGTTTGCCTCTTGGGGCCCTTTCGGGGCTCATCATGGAGCTTTCCTGGGGCGTCTTGAGAGCAGCCTTGGCCGTCTTGGACCGACCTTGGGCTGTTTCAGGGCCCTCTTGGTTGGAGCAAACAGCAAACTGCGGCACAAGTAAGCTCGAGGCGACTAGGAGGCAAGAAACATCGAGAGGAAAGCTTCTCCCAGGGAGGGGTGCTCCTCCACGGGGGGGGGGGTCAGAATCCCCTGGACCCCCCCACCCCACCCAATACCCCCCTGCACCCACCCCCTCGCGGGTGAGGGATCAAGGAGCTCCCCTTCGATTCGATTACGACGTGGCTCGTTTGCCCTCAGGCCGGGACGCTTGAGGAGGAGCGCTCAGGGAGGAGGGGGGAGCCGGCGACGGCGCCGGCGACTACGATTCGTGCATAACACCTTGTCACCGCATTCGGACAGCCATTATGAAGCCTGACCCGAGTTCTTTACCAGAGGCGTGGATCCCCATGTCACAGCTTTGATGCTGGCGACGTGTGCAGATAAGTAAGTATGAGGCGCTCCAAATGAGCCTCGCCTTCGAGGAACGAAGGAGTTGTCATCTCTTCCTCGGCGGAAGGGCGGCGGAAGGGCGGCGGAAGGAACACGGCGGCGGCTCCGCCGGCGGATGCTGGCGGAAGGCCGGAGGCAGCCGGCGGAAGCAGAAGTCGACCTCCCAAGACATGCCATCCTTTTTTGGGGTTCCTCCTCCTCCTCCTGCTGCTGCTCCTCCTCCTCCTCCTCCTCCTCCTCCTCCTCCTCCTCCTCCTCCCCCCCCATCCTCCCCCCCCATCCCTTTCCTTCTCCACCTCTCTGTTTCCTCCTCCTCCCCCCTCCCCTCCCTTCCTCCTCATCGCTCCTCCTCCTGGACTCCTCCTCTCCTCCTACTCCTCCTCCTCATCCTCCTCCTCCTCCTCCTCCTCCTCCTCCCCCTCCTCCTCCTCCTCCTCCTCCTCCTCCTCCCCCAGGGTTTCCGGAGCCGACCCTATGGGATTCTGAGCGGGGCCTGCAGCCGTGTCCCGCTGCGGTTCCGAGCGTGCCGTCCGCGGGGCCCGGCGGCCCCGCGTCCCAGTCCGTCGCCGCCGCCGCCCCCCGTCTCTGTCCCAGGGCGAGGCCCGTCTGCGGGCCCTGCGGCTCTGCCCCCGTCAGGCGCCGCACCACACAATTAGTTTGCACGACGCAGTCGCACAGCTCACACCAGGAGGAGGACCGAGGAGGAGGAGGAGGAGGAGGAGGAAGAGGAGGAGGAGGAGAGGGAGGGGGAGGAGGAGGAGGAGGAGGAGGAGGAGGAGGAGGAGGAGGAGGAGCCCAGACAGCCGAGATCGTAGACCACGTCGCTCAGAAGGCGTGGCTTACACACCGCAGCTGGCACAAAACATACCACGAAGCTTGCACAGCACAGCTTGCACCGTGCGGCTCGCCTCACATAGCTTACACGCCTCCGTTTCCACCACATAGTTTGCCCAGCATGGCTTGCACCACGTAACTCACAGCGCAAACCTTACACAACATATTTGACAGTACATCTTATACAACATACCTTTCGCCGCCACTGTGTAACAACTCACTGGTTGGGGTCCACGCTGGCCAACATATCTTTGTGGTTTCGCTTATACATTTGCATTCGCATCGCAGCCACTGTTTGGTCAGTTTTTTGTCCGATCGGCCTTATCTGAGGAGAACGCAGGAGGAATAGTGAAGAAAGGGATGATTATAAGGGAGGAAGGAGGAGGGGCGACGAGGAAACATGGGGAAGGGATGGAAGAGAGAGACGGGAACAGGGGGTTGAGTCGCATTGTAGGAAGAGGATGTGGTGGACCAGAAGGAGGAGGAGAAGGAAGGAGGGATGAAGGAGGGAGGAATGGAGGAATGGAACCAGGGAGGGATGGGGGAGGGAACGTGGGGAAGCAGAGGAGGTATGCGAGGGAAGAGCAGGATAATTGGAGGCCTCGTTATCCCAGCTCTTTGGGAGGGAGGTGCGGGGGTGGATGAGGACGAGCAGAAAAAAGGAGGAAGAGGAACCAGAGGCTAAGAACAACGAGGAGGAGGAGAAGAACGAGGAGGACCATGGGAAGAGAAGAAAAAGGAGAAGGAAGAGGAGGGAGGGGGAGTGGGGGATATGGGAACGAGGAAGAGGAGGAGCGGGACCAGTCTGAATCCAAGACGTATCAACGATGTCTCAGTGGGCCTTCCCTCCAGATTTGCTCTTCATAGGTCCCGACAAGAGTTTGCTCTCATTGCGGAAGGTGCCCCATGGAAGGACAAGCGTCGGACAATCCTCAACCGTGCCCAGATACCCTTGCCAGGACTTCAATGCTGCGGGTCAGCATGGCTGTTGCGTCCTGGCAGCCCTCGGTTGCGCCGGAAAGCCAGTCCTGACGCGTCAACGCCGCGAATCAATGTGGGGGTTGCAACTTGGCAATCCTAGATCGTGCCAGATAAACCCCTTTCCTCGACTTCGACCACACGAACCTTTGAACCGAGTGCACACTTTAGCGACGAGTGTGCGCGGCGCTAGTGCGAGGGCCACATTTTGAGCAGGACCCGCCTTCCATCCGAGAAGCTGTTGCGCTTATGGCGCATGCGCGCGGCGCCCAGGCGCGAACCACACTTTGAAAGGCACTCGCCCTCCATCCGCGAAGCTCTCCCAAGCTTCTAAGACGAGCGAGCGCTGCGCTGGGGCGAGAGCCACATGCGGAGCACCGCGCGCCCTCCATCCGCGAAGCTGCCGGGAGCTTTTTTTAGGGCCACCGCGCGCGGCGCTGGGGCGGGGGCCACGCGTTGAGAACTGCCCTCGCCTCTCTGGGGGGCTGGGGGCGGTCCCCGCGAGCCCACGTGCGAGCGGAGGCCCCCCTCTGGCCACCGCCGCAGCGGCCCGCTGCCGCCGCGCGCCGCCGCCGCCGCCAACGGTCTGTCCTCGGACGGCTGCGCTCCGCCGTCGTGCCCTCCCGCGGGGCCCCCTCCGCGTCCTGACTCTGACCACCCCTTCGTCCCTGGCCGTCGCCCTGCCCCCTCGCTCCTCGCGTCCCCGGCTGCCTCGGCGTCGCTCTCTGCGGCCCCCTCCGCTTCCGCGTCCTCCTCTGCCTCGACCTTCCGCCTCCACGTGCGCCGCTCTTTGCCCCTCCTCTTTCTCTCCCGTTGGGCGCCCCCCCCCCCCCCCCGTTTCCCCGTCCTCCCGCCGCCTGCGCTTCGTCCATTTTACGACTGCTTCCCCTTCGTCCTCCTGCTGCTGTTCCCCGTCCCCGCGGGGATCTGCAAGTGAGGCCTTCGGCGTTGGCGCCGGGACTTCTCTGGGCGGTGACCCAGCTCGAGTCGAGTCGTCAACGGTGAGGGGTTTGTCGAAGATGGCTTCGCGCCGCCCTTGGGGGTTGGAGTTGGATGGGGAGTTCGGCATCATCATCAACATCATCCTCCTTATCACCACCATCATAATATCAATCAG